TCTCTCTCTCTCTCTCTCTCTCTCTCTCTCTCTCTCTCTCTCTCTCTTTCTCTCTCTTTCTCTCTCTCTCTCCTTCTCCCTCTCCCTCTCCCTCTCTCTCTCTTCACCTGTAGCTGTGATGTTCTTGGTTTCGACTGAAACTTTCATTAGGAGGTTGTTAATTTTTTTATCATTGTTGTTACTAAGGGGGGGAAAGAAATTTTATGTCCCCCCACCCCAATCTGCCTCCAAAACAAAACTCCCTCTCCAACCCTAAACTGAAATGATAAAATAAACTCTAATGAGTCAGAGGATGAAGATCTTGTCTTAATTGCCCTTTCTTCAATTCCCAAGGGGGCTCTCCATCCCTCAACCAGCTATCCATTATCTTATGTGTGTCTGTTCCCCCCTCCCATGGCAAGTAATCTTTCCCATTACAGATCCTCCTTGACTTAACGACCACAGCTGAGCCCAGAATTTCTGTTGCTAAGCAAGGCAGTCATTAAGTGAGTTGTGCCCTATGTTGTGATCTTTTTTGCCACAATTGTTAAGTGAATCATTGCAGAGTTAAGTGAATCATGTGGTCGTTAAGTAAATCTGACTTCGCCCTTTGATTTGCTTGTTGGAAGCCAGCTGGAAAGGTTACAGATGGTGATCGCATGCCCCCCTGGGACAGTGCAATTGTCAAAAATGCATGCCATTTGCCAAGCACCTGAATTTTGATCACGTGACCATGGAGATCCTACAACAGTCATAAGTGTGAAAAACAGTAACGAGTCATTTTTTTCAGTGCCGTTGTAACTTTGAACGGCCAGTAAATGAATCATAAATCAAGGACTACCAGTACATCAAACACACACTTTGGCCAACCATTAGCATTCCTCACCCTAGATCTTCCTCTAACCTCCCAAAGCAATCCCTTACTTGAATGTAGATCTTCCTATGTCAGATTCCCGTCTTCTTGCTAAAGTCTACCTCATTCTTCCTCCATTGCTATTTCTCCCTCTTTCATACCTAGTCACTTGTTTGAGGTGGGCGGCTGTATAAATTGAATGAATGAATGAATTTGACTTCCCTTCCCCCATCAAATCACCCTTTATTCCCAGCCCATCTCTAAAGATGTGTTCCTCCTTCATCACTAAACATTCCTCCATTTGAATTGTCCTGTTCTTAGAAGAACTTTGATCTTTCCAAAACTTGTGGGTTTTTTTTTTTCTGCCAACCCAAATCAACAGGTGTTACGGGAATTGCTCCACTATTATTTTTTTTTCCAATTTGGGTATCAAGGGGGGAGATGTGAAAAGGTACTTCAAGGATAGTGGATAAATAAATTCCGCCTCAGAATTGGTGTTCTCATCATAAAGACCTACTTCAAACAAATCTCTCCCTGAATCAGCAAACACAGAAATGTATTAAGACTTGTTTGGTTGCTTAGGTCAGTGTCCCCAATGTATGTACTCAGTTACTCTTGGGTCTCATTTTGTCTCTTTCTCCCCTCCTTATTTATTGTGGATGAAAAGGCAAAGTTGGCAAGTGTGTATGTACAGTAAGTATGCATGGCTGAGGGGAGAGATGGAATCTGGTAAATGGGCCCTAAGCAAAGGTTTTAAAGGGGAGAGTGGCCTGGTTTGAGTATTTTGATTTTTTTAAAAATCATCTTTCCCTGATAAACTGAGTTATTGGTAGCTGTTGGCCTTAGAAGTGATGGATTGTGACAGGTAGCCGAGTGTGGAAACGGGATTAGCTAAACATGGGTTTGGGGAAATGAGAGAATAAAGTTGGGGGAATCTTTCATATTACAGGGTTAATTTTAGACGGACGTAGAGCCTTGGCACTTCTTGGGACAATACGCCTGCACCATCAATTCCATGCAAAACCTTGCTAAACCATCACACCCAGTTGGAGGGACAGAGTAGCCAAGCTAGAGCTCTCAGAATTGGACCGGTCCAGCTCGTGAGTTGATCAAGGACAAGTGCAACACACACACACACACACACATGTACAGCTCAGTTTCCTGTGACAAAAGAGACTTTCCTCCTCCGCCACCTACCCTTATATTTGGATCTTGAAAGGCCCCCTTTTTTACGACGTGTATTTCTGTGTATCTTGTTCGCGCCTCAAGGGTATTGTTCTGAGATATGGGATTTGTGTTCTGTATTATTGGATGTTCCTATATATTTTTATTGTTTATTATTAGTGTCTGAGACGTTTTTTTCTCTCAATATGTAAAACTCACATTGTATACTGTGTACACAACAAAATGACAAAAAAACACTTTTCTTTGCAAAAATCAATTGCCTGAAGCAGAGTTTTGTTCATTTGGTTGAGACTTGGGTGGCCATGGGAAAAAGGAGGGCAGTAGTGTTCTAAAATAATGATGGGGGAAACCTGCCTAAGTCTGTTTTTTTTTCCCATTGAAGCATGAAACTACTGGCTCTTAGTCTCAACATCTGGATGGTTTCATCCATAATCTGAAGTTTACATAATCCCTTGCTTAATGTTGTCCTTATGTGCAATCCTTAAAGGGTATTAGAAACATATACCTGATTCTACTCTTTATTTACTGGACTTTCCTGTCAGATGGAAGGTTATCCATACCATCATATCAAGAGCTGCACCTGCCATGCAGAATAGCAGTGCCATTTTAGTTACACAATCTAGAAAACCCCTATGTAGCTCAGAGACAATCTTTCCAATAGTGTTAACAAAACATCATAAACTTTCTTTGGTCATCTTCTATGTATTTTCTATTGGTGCTATTCTGTGTATTTTCTGAGGGTCAATTTCAAAGGCACCTCTCATTGGTCAGAATCTGTTAGAAAATTCTATTGCCAGTGGTAGCTTCATGGATACTTTGTATAAATCTAGTTCTCGATTTATAACTGGTTGTATAATGACCATTGAAGTTACAAGAGTTCTTCCCCAAAAAGTACTTCTGCCCTTTTCTCAAAATTGTGATGGCCACAACTCTGCCCCTCAGTATGGTCACTTGAACATATTTTATCTATTTGGCAACCAGTTCACCTTTACAGCCTTTTGTAGCATCCTGCAGTCACATGACCACAATTTATGATATTTTTGGTTGGTTTCCGGCATTTCCAATTTCACATAAAAATCACCGGGTGGGGGGGGGAGATTCACTTAAAAATTGGGGTATGACTGCAGCAAAAAATCATTGAAAAATTCGGTCCAGTTAAATGATACCTTAACGACTGCTACAATTTACTGTTTTTTTCTCAATATGTAAAACTCACATTGTATACACAAATTAAATCAAAATGACCTTATGTAACTTCGACACAGCTCCACTACTAAGATGCCAATTGATCATTGCTCAAGAAAATCAAGATTTGTAAAGATTGTGCAGAAGTTAGAAACTTGTTCCGGATTGCAGAAAGCATTTTTTTTAATCTGGGAGAAATTACCGCTTTATGATTTTATCTCCCGGGCTATCATAAATCACTAAACGCTAATACTGAACTTCTGGACTGATTAGTAAAGAACACATTTAATTCTCCATGTTAATTCATACTGGGTCATTACAAATACTTTTTAATATACTATAAACTTCACATTTCCAAAATTTTCCCCCACCCAAGCTTTCTGTATATAAAAGTGCATACTGTGTTTCATTTCATGCAGACATGTTAAATGTCTTACAGGCAATTCAATTATAAAATATATAGCATTCTCCATATAATTAAACATACACATACATGTAGTATAACAGAAGTATGCATTTTTTTTAAAGTACCCCGCCCCATTTTTTTAAGATGGGGAAACTTGTTCTACCGAAGTGTTTGTCAAAGTATCATATAAAAGCTGATGGATATGAGAAATGGCAACCCTTTATTGGCCATAAGCCTCATCTGGGAACACAAAGGGAACAGGCCATAAGCCTCCCTCACAAAGGGAACAGGCCCAGAAATTTCTCAAGGTCCCCAATCCCACACCTCTTCTTCAGAAAGATTCCTACTTGTTGGACAAGTTAGTGCTTTGTAGAGTTAACACTACAAGATTGACCAAGTTCATATAGCATGTACTTTTTTCACACAATAAGCTGTGATCAAGCAAATAAAACTATTGTGGCTTAGTATATCAGCTTCCTTAGCCTAGTGTGTTGCGCTTTTGTATGTGCTTATGTACCACCACAGTAAAATTACACACTGATAATGAGAATGTTTCCCGTTTATTAAAATTATGGTTAAATCATACATTCACAAGCTATGGCCATTTTATCATTTAATAAGTTTTTATTTCATTGTTGTGTCATGCCTAAGTGCACACATATGTATGCATGCTCCTTTTGGCCTTAGAATAACACTTTGTACCAGAAGTTCCCAAACTTTCTTGGTCCAGTGCCATTCCAGAATCATTGCCTTAATAGAAACAGCACATTTACAAGGATACTATGGGATATTTTAAATTACACTGAGGGAGTCCGTTAAATGTCACTGCTTCCTTTAGAAATTTAAAATATCCATAGTGCCTTGTGAGTTCGTTTTGGCACTATAGCACATTTTTGTAACTGTAGCCTTTTAAATTAATAAAGAGGCTCTAGTCTATGAGGGCATATCAGTTTAATTAAGTAATTAAGGGGGAAACCCCAGGCTTTACTATATAATCTTTGCTCAAGAGACTCTTTGGTGTTTATAGCTGGAATGCCATGCTCTGCAACATGGTAGAAGAATATTTTCTATATCTCGAATATTGTCCAAAGCCTAACATTTTTCCCATATCTCTTTACTGGTAGAATAAGGGTGACTGGGAGCTAGCAAGTGACCCAGCAAGCTTCTATAACCATGACCAAAGAGATCCAGATTGAACATGTTAACCACTATCCCACCCAAATACCATCTGAGAATTGTAATCTTAACATATCTGAGGTCTGTGGAAGGTGATGGATGAAGGAAGAATTAGACAATTGAAATGATAAGACGGAAGTGTTGGAACGGCATGCAAGAGAACAAGGAGTCCATTGGCAAAACCCATCCAATTAAACATGCAGCTGCAATATTGATACTTCAATAATGATGGTATAACTTCAATATGATAGTTATCTCTAAAGATGTTGGGAACCCCTACTAAGAAGAAAAATTACTAACACAAGGAGTTGCTATTTAAAAAAGAAAGTTCTTGACATCACTTTCCCTTACAAGCACATTACTGAAGTGGGGAAGAAAGGATGAATTTAACAAAAGCTGGCCCTGTCTTTAACAGAGTAATTTTTGAACTGAGCAATTTACAAAACAGAAACTTGATTCTAGCATATATTTAAGGTTTTGAATCTTCACCATCTTAAAACTTAAGCTAGGGTAGTAGAATGTTGAGAACCTGCTATAGTAAATGGTTCTGCAGGAAGCATCACCATTTATTGGCTTGATGGCAGTAGTCAGTTCTCGTTTAGGCTGCAGTTAATGACTGCTCACAAATTTGACAGTAATAATCAGTAGTAAAAAATCATTTTCTGACCCACGTGCACACACATGATCAAATTTATGCACTGACAATGATGCACACTGGAGAGTAATGCTGGCAGTGCTGTACAAGAGAACTTTTTTTTTCTGAATGAGATAGAATGGGTGATCTTTGCAGCATTTCTCTATGTCCTGTGGTTCACTTAGTTATCATTTTGCTCAGCGACCATTTTTCTGCAACAAGCTGGTTACTAAACAATGCTGTATTTTGCAATTGGCCATACCTATCACAGTAACTGCTTTGTGACCATGTGACTCTCACAATATGGCAACCATATTGTGAGAGCCATCGCAATCTTCTGATAAAAAATCAAAGAGTTGGCTAGCTTCCCCCTTTCCCTCAGATTTTGCAAAACTCCTTCTTGTAAAGCATTGTTTTTCAAACTTGGCAACTCGAAGACTTCAGCTGCTGGCTGGGGACTTCTTCTGGGAATAGACATGCACACATTCTGAAAATTGAAGTCTACACACCTTAAAGTTGTTAAGTTTGAAAAACGCTGCTATAAAGTGTGCTGCTTTTTTAGTCCAGCTTCAGGAACAAAAAAAGTCAATACTGGCAACTTGCAAGACAATTGTGTCTGCAGCTGCTTCCCTTGCAGTTTGGCCAAAGTGTGGCTTAAGTCTGTAAGCTATGGTTTTAAAAAAAGGAACAGAAAAATTATAGTACCTTTTAAAATGCATTTGTACCATGTCTTTCAATATGTAGATATCAGTGTATGTGCAAAAGCTTGCCCTTAGCTGCAGTGAAATAAATGATCCTTTGCAGTTGATTCCTATTCTTTAATTCATTTTATCAGTGGGCTGCCACTGAAATTTACAACCCTGTACCCCTTTTATCTAACCGAATAGATTTTCTGCCCCTTGGCAAAAAGGGGCACCTTTAAAGCGATTTCCATGAAAGAACAAAGGAGGGCAAAATAGCATACAAAACTGAATGCATAACCCATAGATTCAGGATATGTTGGAAGAGAAGAACATGTCTATTCCCTGCTTTGTTCTCAGTTTACAGACTCCTATGCAACAAGAGAAAAATGGTAATACATTTGTGCAAGTCAAAAATACACAGTGCCAGCCCTAATTGTAGTAGGAGAGATGGAACGAGGAAAATCCTGCTCTATCTTCTTGGTTGGAAGGAATCTGAGCCTCTCCTCTTCCAGGCTGTGTGGCTTGATGTAGGATGGCAGTTTACAGAATGGAACAAGGGCAGCTTTTGCGATCCTTCTTTTTGGGGTGAAAGGCTGGGGCAGGGGGAGATTCCAACTCATGAAACCTCCTGCCATAAAAAAAAAAAAAAGAAAATTGGAGTGAGCAAAGGAAGCAAAGCGTTAAATAGTGCATGCTGCATCATATTACTTTGTGGAAAAGTTCTTACATAAGATAAGCACCACTTGAAAAAAAAAAGTATATCCCTGGAGGGGGGCAATTGCTGTATACTACCCAGGAGGTTGTATAGTCGGAAACAGTATACTAATGCTTTGGGCATCTAACAGATGATGACTGTTCCTTTGGACTATACTGTGAGGTTCCAGGAAAGTGCTGGCTGGAGTACAACCAAAATCACTTTCATCCACTCACTACTCTGGATGGCCCTTTTTTGCAGACCACACAAAAAATTCAAATCTTCAGCTTGTGATTCCAGAAATGGTAGCCAGTACTCCTCAATGATTCTTGCTGAATGATACAGTTCTAAATACAGGTAGTCCTTGATTTATGACTGTAATTCAGCCCTTAATTACGGTCATTAGTTATGCTGGTCATCAAACAGGTCATCGCATGACCAACTCAATTTTATGACCTTTTTTACATTAATTGTTAAGCAAATCACCATGGTTGTTAAATAAATTAACTGAATAGCCATGGTTGCTGAGTGAATTCATAGTCCACTGTGAGCATTTTTTGCTGGGAACTGAAAGTAAATGATGGTTGTTGACAAAAAAATTGAACTTACAGTCACATGACCATGGGACACTGCAAATGGCCATAAATGCATGCCAATTGCCAAACTCTTAAAATGCAATCACATGACTCCAGGTGAAGGGGGCTTCAAAGCTGAGTATAAGTACCTTTTCATTTTGGTCTGCTGTGACACTGAACAACTACTAAGTGACCAGTCATAAATCAAGGACTAGCTGTAGAAAGCACATGCTAACAGATTTCATAGCAGAAAACTCAATTGTCCACCCTCATCAATGCAATTCTTAGTGTTTTGACCTTTAAACTCCATATTCCTCCTTCTTCGGAATGTTTACTGAGTAGCCATATGCGCTTCCCAGGCCCAAATTGGGATTTTGGCAGCTGAAATGTAGCCACAGTCTGAAATATCAGGCAGAAAGCTGCATCACAAAAGTAAGTTGATGGATCACTATCTGAATCTATAAAAATATATAGAATAGCTAATATTGGAAAATGTACGTGCATCAGGTCAATTAACAGCGAGAGTAATTTCATGTGGTCTTCAATCTGACATTTTAAAAGCCCTTATAAGCAAACATCAAGCAAACAAACAGGTTTCTGTTCCAATCAATCTCTACAGGAAGAATCAGAGAAAAGAATATTAGAAAGAGAGATAAAGAGAAATATTCTTTTTGTCCATTAACCCCAGTCTAAGGAATCCCATTTCCCAAAGAGTGTATGCTTCATCTCAGCTCCCCCAGCTTTGAGGAGAAGATTGAAAACCCATCTATTTCACCAGTTTCTAACTAATAAACTGGTTTTATCTTACCAGTATCATTTGTAATTTTGATTTGATTTTAGTTGTGCTGATTTTTTTTAATTACTGTCAACTACTTTGAAAATAGTGTGAGCAGAAAGACAAATTTTAAACTATTCAGAAAGAAAGGAAGAAAGAAAGAAAGAAAGAAAGAAAGAAAGAAAGAAAGAAAGAAAGAAAGAAAGAAAGAAAGAAAGAAAGAAAGAAAGAAAGAAGCAAATATTTAATTAGAAAAAGCCTTTCTGGGGGATGCTGTCCTAGAAGAGATTTTTCCCCCAGTCTGGGGGAGTTTCAGTTCTTTCACAGCATTGGCTTCAACCACAACTGCCTTCCTCTTACCTGATGGCACGGACCAACTCATAAAAAGACTCATCCACATTGAATCGGACCTTTGCCGAGGCTTCCATGTAGGGGATTTGGTTCTCCCGAGCAAAGTAAAGGGCCTCCTCTTCAGTTACCTGCCAATAAGGGTATATAAGATCTTAATACAGAAATACATTAAATACAGCAGCTTAAGGAAGAAAAAATAATTACTATTTAACTATAACATGAATATAGTATAGTATTCACAGTCAGAATAGGTGTAACCATCACCAATTGCATAGTTCTAATCCAGGGGTGTCAAATTCAATTTCATTGAAGGCCCCATCAGGGCTGTTGTTGATCTTGGGAGGAACGGGCAGATGTGGCCAACTGGGTGGGTGTGGCCAATGTGGTAGGCGTGGCCAACTTGACGCCATTCCCCAAACTGCTGACATGTTTCCTCTTCACATTAAGTAGACCAGGCCGAAGCCATGCTGGCCTGATCTTTCCTCTTCACATTGGGTAGACCAGGACAGCGCCGGAGGCTGATCACATTGCAGGCCAGATCTGGCCTGCAGGCCTTGAATTTGACACCCCTGTTAGTTCTTTATTTGTTGAGCTAACACAAAATGTAAAGATGAAAAACAAAAGAAGAAAGGGGTATTGGGAGGGATAGAGGAATCTATCATGCCTTTTTATCCCCCTATTTTTGCAAATGCTTCTTTAATCAAGATGATTTTTCTCATTCTCTTGAAATTTTGGGCCTTAACTGAGGAAATTCTGTCTATCCAAAGTCGATAAATATATGACTTGAGAGATGGAAGATTTGATAATGGCAGGAGGCTCCATGATTAGGATGTCAACAAGCTGACTACGTAGGTTCTCTTAGGCAATTTTGGAGCTGTCAGTATAAGCTCCATTCGTCAATTTTTTGCAGGCTTCAGAATCTGGGAGGCTAGTGGACACTATATAGAGTGATATGTTTTTGGGACAAGAGGCATTGACAACATTTCATACTTCTGCTCCTTGGGTTCAGAATCATGAGATGAATTGTGAGAAGGTCCACTACTGCTCTCTTGAAGACCAAAGAGTGTATGTTTGAAACAATATTCACTAAAGTCCAGATCTTCAAGGCTGAGTCAATATTTTGCCAACTTCTGAATCACAGCAATGGTACATTTTCCGTTCCTTGGTTCTGTGTAGGACTTTGTTTCCTTCTTCATCAGCTACTTTAATCTAGTTCCTTCCTTTCTCCTGATATAGGCTTTGATGGTCCTGCTAAATTACACTATCCCATTTGCAACTCAGGGGTTATCCTCAGGGTACCTGTGCCTGGCTCCAGTTTCTGCGTCAGCTGTGACCCTTCCTAGATCAGGACTCCCTTCTTAGTCAATCTCTATTCAACTCTCAACTGAACTACTGCAAAATGCTCTACAATGGAGCTACCCTTGGAATCCATTTGGAAGTTCAAGCTTTTTCAAGTGTGGCAGCAAGAGACATCTTTGTGGGCCCTAGAATGTCCCATATTAAGTCCTGCTGGAAGAAGTCCATCCCACTCGTGCAAACAGACAGGGCCTATTGTGAACACCAACTATTGGGATTAAGAAGAAGAACCTTCTCTTCTGTTGTGCTTTCCCTTTGGAACATCTACCCCACAAGGAGAGAGAGCTGCCTCTAACTCCGTATCATTCCATAAGAGCCTGAAGACCTGGGCCTGCTAATTGGCCTGGGTCCCCAATGTGGGAGGTGGCTATTAGATTGATAGCAAGTCCCACTTCCTCCCTTGCTGCCTGCTTCCCCACATGCCAACTTCTATTCTCACATCACTATCTTGTTGTTTTCTTCTTTATTCTATTGTTCCATTACTTTACACCTGTTATGTTTAAACTTCTTTTCATTTCTGTTTTATTGTTTTATGTTGTAAGCTACCTTGAGTAACTTCCCCATGGCAAGACGGGCAGCAAATAAATTTAACAAATAATATTAGGAAGATATGTTGCCTTTTAGAAAAGGTTGGAATCTGAGCTAGTCATATTGTTTGTCATAACAAGAAACACGGGACAGCCTTGAATTTCTTCCCACTAGGCTACTCAAGGGTATGACCCTCACTCCTTCAGCCTGGTGTATCTGATGAGTTTGACCAAATGAGAGATCCATAATGTCTCTCTCCATAACTTTAAATAAAGCTGTGAGGAACTGTCACTTGAGGGAACTCCTCAACTTTTTCTTTCTTTTTTTAGCATATTTATTTTCTTTTGTCAACAAAAATAAAACAGAAAATAGAAAATTGAACATCCAATACTAAGAACGAAAAGGAAAAAAAAACTTGTGTACAAATTTTTTTTTTTAAAAAATAAAAAAATCCCAAATGTCAAATAGATCTAACATTAAACATAACAAATCTACCCTGAATAGATGCTGAAAAATAAAAGAAACCTAGCACGTTCTCCTCCCCTTACAAAACAGCTCTACAAAGAGTTATAAACTTTCCCATGTATATTTTAAATGCTATATTAAATAAATAAATATCTTAGATGTGGAAATCTATCAGTCTAATAATCAAATCAACCCAACATCTAATAATGATATATATGTAAAAGAAAAGAAAAAAACATTGAACAGGTTAGCCCAAACTTTACACTAATCTGGGACTCCTCACTTTTTCTAGGAGTGCCAGGATTTTGGAGATTGGACTGTTGAATTCCTGGCAGGGAAGAGACGCATCTATTGGTAGAGTCAGGGGCAAAATCATGCACAGGGTATTAATATTATCCATTCAACCCAAACAATCCTCTGGCCTGCAGATTAATGAGAATCATAAGACTTGGGTGCCTGCTGTGAACAACTGATAGAACTAATGCCTGAATGGTCTCCTGCAGTGGTGGGATTCAATTTTTTTTACTACCGGTTCTGTGGGCTTGGCTTGGTGGGCGTGGCAGGGGAAGGATACTGCAAAGTCCCATTCCCTCCCCTCCCCAATAACCTGCTTTCCAGCTCTGTTCTCCTGTGCAGGGCAACAAAAGGAGACCCAGCCAATCAGCTGGGACTCAGGAGGCAGAGAATAGATGGGGGCGGGGCCAGTCAGAGGTGGTATTTGTTGGTTCTCCGAACTACTCAAAATTTCAACTATTGGTTCTCCAGAACTGGTTAGAACCTGCTGAATATCACCTCTGGTCTCCTGTCTCTCCTTTGGAAAGAGAATAAGTCTGGTGCCAATATACTTTGGCAGTGCAAGAAGGATGTTCTTCTTTCCATTGATTAGGAAGCCCAGATTCTGATCAAGGTCCTGCCAGCAGTCACTGCTTAGTCAAGGAGAATCAGATAAGAATATGAGTGTATTTGATGCAATATGCAATGGGCTAGGGCAGTCAAAACTATGAAAATGTATGACAGGGAGCCAGTTTGTAAGGCTTTGGCAGCGGCAGGAATCCACAATCGTGTGCAGTTCCTGCTGCCCTTGCCCCTGGAGTGCCCCCAATCCAGCCGGATTTGGGGGCTAATAGTTACCCCGTAGAGGTAACTGAAGACAGGGGAGATCCAGCAGGGGTCCGGGGGATCGCAACCCCCCCTCCTCAGCTGGCTTAACTCCCTTTTCCAAAAGCGGTAGAGTGGCAGTCAGCAATGGCCGCCACAAAGAAGCTTTCATCCAGACAAGAATGTGCAGGGGGAAGCTGAGAAAGTGAAAGTTTTTGGCTGAACCAGGATAACAAGTAACATTTAAATATCCTGGAATTTTAATTTCATTAAAGATACATTGTTCCCAACGAAGATCGAAAAAAGCGGCAGAGGAAAGTTAAAAGGGAAAGTTTGTTTTTTCTTACTCTCTTTCCTTACAGTGATAGTAGATGGAAATCAGAAAAATCCGTTTTGGCACCAGCAGGTAATTAAATTTGAAAATTAAAGCCAAGGGGACATTAAAGATTTCTGAACATTGGAATTAAAAAAAAAATTTTTTTTGCTATAAGTGGGAAGGGAGAGGAAAAGAATTAATATTAAGATTTTGCTGGAGGAGGCTGCTTGGAACTTATAAGATCAGAGTTAAATTGTAACAAGACTTCTAAAAGATATACTTTGGAACTTTGCAATTGAACTGTACCCCAGGAAGAGAAAGTATAAAAAGAAGAAAGTGCTAAATGAAACAGTTTCTGTCTATTTGGATTGCTTGGGACCTTTGGAAATTATTATTTGAAAGACTAAAAACATTTGGGTTGTTTAAAAATTTTTCACAATGGCATTACTTGTTGATGAACTGAAAATGGAATTTAAAAAGCTAAAAGAAGAGGAACAAGAAGGGAAGGGCTCTTCTGGATCTGTTTCTCATTTCTTAGAAATGGCGATTTCTACCTATCAGAAATTACAAGAACAAGAAGGTTGGGATGAAGAAGAAGAAGCCGTCTTTAATGAACAAACAACTTTAGCTGGGGAAGAAAAGGGAAAGAGAGGAAAGAGAATGGAGAATTTAAGACTTAAAAAAACAACCAAAAAAGGGAAAAATAAGATGAAAAATCAATACAATGTCAGAAAGCAAGAGAAAAGAGGAATACAGAAGAGGATGGAGATTAAGAGGGTGGAGATCAAGAGACGGGGGGGGGGGTAAAAAGGCTAGATTGGAGAAGAAAGGAAGAGAAAAAGGGAAGAGAAGTTACAAAGGTTTGAAACAAGATGTAAAGAAACAGGATTTATTTAGAGATAATGGGTAAAAATATAATTAAAAGAGAGATTCTGCAAAAGTACATAAGACTATTGTTGTATTTGTATTTGAAATAATGTTAGAAAACTGGAACATTATATGATTATAAAATGGGATAAAATATTAAAAGGAATGTGTAAAATGCTTAAGATTTAATGATAGAGTTTAATTTGCCATGGATTATTGCTTTAATTATATTATAAACTTATTATTTTCCTATTTTAAAATATAGTATGTAGCTTTAGAATGTACTAAGCAGAATCAGAATGAAAATTATATATTATTTTAAGTGTTAAATTTAGGGGAAATATAAAGGCGTCATACTTCAATCAGTGATTACAGGAGAAATTTTGTGTTAATGAGAAAAGATAATAGATAATTGAAATAGAACAGACAAAAGATACAGGTATAATGATCTAAATTGAGATGAAATAAATAAAATAGAATTAAGAGAGTGAAAAGAGGGGAGAAGCTATATAGAAAATGTAGAATGGTGAATAAGATATGAAATGTTATATAAAGTGAGCATGAATTTGATTTATGTCTGTACAAAAAGATGTAACCCAGGACTAAGCCGCTTTCCAAAAAGAAGTTTTATGTTTTCATGTTTTGTGTTTTGTTTGTGTATGTTTGTTTATTGAAAATTAATAAAAAAAAATATTAAAAAAAGAAAAAAGAAAATGTATGACAGGCTCAGTGGCTTCAATTGATACCAGGTGCCATGGTATTTGCATCTCAGGAACTTCTTTATCGGGAGGATAAATTGAAATGTGTAGGTAAATTTATTATATGTCCATGATCAACTGCATAATTAAGCCTGTGTTAGAGTATATTCATTAACTGGCAGAGACATGGTTAACAAAATAAGCATGGCAAAAGACCAGCCAATGGGAGCTGACAGCCTAGGTGTGGTTTGGCTCTGTGTGATTTGCTGAGAATTGAAAGGGAAACTAACTTGTTTGCTGAAACTTGAGTTCTGCTCTGAGCTGCTGTTTGTGCTTTTACTTATGTTATGTTGAAAGAATTTACAAATGGTATTGTAAACTTTACTCATGTTAATATGTTTATAAAGAAGTTAATGATTCTTCTAAATCAGTCTGTGTTTCTTGGAAGTGAATTTATGCTGCAAACTCTAACAGCCTGCAACTATCTAAGGCAGGAGTGTCAAACTCAATTTTATTGAGGGCCACATCAGGGTTGTGGTGGACCTGGGAGGGCTGGGCGGGGTGTGCCTGTGGCTGTGGTGGGAGTGGCCAGTTTAATGTCACTCATGTCGGGGAACACCTGTGGTGGCCTGAACGGAGTTGTAGAAGAGGGAAACTAACCTACCTTCCTTCCTTCCTTCCTTCCTTCCTTCCTTCCTTCCTTCGCCCTTTTCTTCATTTTCCTTCCCTCTTCCCTCTCCTTTCTTTCTTCTTCCTTCCCCTCTTTCCTTCTTTTTTCTTCCTTGCTCTCTTCCCCTCTTTCCTTCTTTTTCTTTGTCTTTCCTCATTCCCCTTCTCCTTTTCTGTCCCTTCTTGGATGCTCAAATGCAAAAGGGGAAACATTTTTTGATGCCTCCTTGCCTTCTGACAAAATGCCACTTTTGCTAGTAATTTGTGGCCACTTATAAGACTGAAAACAAACCAGGCAGTTTATCCCCTGCTTGCATTTAGTGGGGGCGTCCACAGACAACAGCACAGCAAAACTGTCAAAATGGTGACTACGCTAGTTGATCAGAGCATCTCTGCTTTTTATGTACAAACAGCTTTAGCGTTTAGGAAGAGAGCTAAGTTAGTTGCTTTTCCATTAATACAGGCTCTTCTATTAAAAGGACTCTCCTCCTTCATAGTCTAATTCAGAGATCCCCAACCTTTTTGGCACCAGGGACTGGTTTCATGGAAGACAATTTTTCTATGGACCTGTGTGTGTGAGAGAGAGAGAGAGAGAGAAAGAGAGAGAGAGAGAGAGAGACTGCGACTGAAACAAGTGTACAGTTTTGAAAGAGGCACAGACAGAAGTGGTAAATTAAATAGTGGGTGAGCCATGCACAGAGTAAAATAAGTGTGGGATTGTTACTTAAGGCCTGCCACCAGATGATTTTGCTCCAGTCCAGAGAAAAATCAAAATAAATACACCGGGAAGATTTCACTAGAAAGGACTTTCTTTTGCTCCAGGGGAAAATCAGAATAAAGACATGGAAAAGTCTATAAAAGGAAGAGGCTTTTTTGTTCTGCTCCGGAAGAAAATTAGAAGACATAGAGAAATCTGCAGTGGAAGAGGCTCTTTGTTTCTGCTTCAGAAGAAACCCCAAATCAAAGACCTGGCAAAGCAGAAAGAGGGTGAATGACCACCACCTGCACTTTTTAATGGTTCAGCACAGTGTTTCCCTTCCAGATTAGACCTGTGAGCTTCTGATTCTAAGAAAGTGGGAAGGAAGATAGGGAAGAAGATTCAATTCTAAGCCTTCCAGCAAAACAAATAGAAGCCCAGCAATCTTGGAAAAGGTGCAGATGAGAGGAATTCCCTTGGAGACTCAGTGCTTATTTAAGAGAGGAAATAGCAACAGCAATAGCACTTAAGACTTATATACCGCTTTATAGTGCTTTACAGCCCTCTCTAAGTGGTTTACAGAGTCAGCATATTTCCCCCAACAAACTGGGTCCTCATTTTATCCATCTTGGAAGGATGGAAGGCTGAGTCAACCTTGAGCCTGATGAGATTCGATCTGCCAAATTTCTAGGCAGCCAGCAGTCAGCAGAAGTAGCCTGCAGTACTGCACTCTAACCACTGCGCCACTTTGGCTCATATCACCATAGAAAAGTAGCTTTTTCCCTCCCTCCTCCCCCATTCCAAGCTGGGTTGGAGCAGGCTTGGTTTGGCTTGCAAACTTGGAGAGCTGCACAAAGAAAGGAACTTGAGCCTTGTTGGGGTGCCAGGAGAGGGAGAGGAAGAAAATGAGGGAAAAGAGGAGGAAGAAGAGACAGCAGGAGGAAGTGCTGAGAAAACAATTTAAAAAACCAAGAGAGAACAAACCAACTCGGCATAGCATAATGCTTCTTTGCAAACAAACCTGAAGCATGCAGTTGCCTCAGCTTGCAAAGGTTTGGAGCAAGCAGTGAAAGGCCTAAGCACACACACTCATATACACACATCAAACCAAACCACCAAAAAACAGGCAGGATGTTGCCAAAACACATGAGGCATTCTCAACCATGAAAACAAAAGTAAACAACTCTAGTTGAAATGCAACAGAGCCCACAGTCTGGGAAAATGTGCAGAGAGAGGGATTCCCTTGGAGGCACAGCGATTAAGGTGCATCCAAGAAAAAGATGTATAAACACACACACACACATACCTTCGGAGGGTTCCCCTCCAATGAAAGTTGGGGAAAGCTCCCCCACTCCAGTTTCAAGTTGGGTTGCTGCATGCTTGTCTTGCAAACTTGGAAAGGTGCGCGAAGAGAACGTCAGCCCAGTTGGGGTGCCAGGAGAGGGACAGGAGGAAAGTGGGGAAGAAGAGGAGGAAGAAGAGTTAGCAGGAGGAAGAGAAAGCAGGAGGAAAAGGAAGCAGGAACAGGAAGAGGAGGCAGAAGCAAACATAGCAGGAGGAGCAGGAGGAAGGACATGCAACTCAGGTGTTGCAAGCCAGTTGCAAGCACAGCTGCTAGAATACCTTTGCACTGGGCAAGAGGGCTTCACATGTACTGACCTTACTGCTTGAGGGCATGAACAAAGCCTCCAGCTTGTACCTACGTCCAGCCTGCCAGAGCTTGATGTGTCACGGGAGGAATGAGACCCCATGGTCCCTGCCTGTGTGCAAGTAGGATATTTGCATGCAAATGGGGAGCTACCTTTGAGGGCAATCCCACTGCTGCACTTCAGCTTTCTTCAGCTTGGATAGAGTGAGCACCCAAGATGCTGGTGGCGGTGGCGGCAGGAAGCCATCTCAGCAGCTATAATCCCCAGCCAGCTAGCCCCGCCTGACATCCTCTCTGCCTGGCCGGCTGACTGGCACAAACCTTCATTGGTCTTCTCCTCCTACTCTCTGCTCAAGCGGTGGCGGGTTCCATGGGACAACAAGTCTCATTCTTCCCCTGGCATGGCAAGCTCTGGTGGGCTAAACGTGGGTGTGAGGGCTTCACTCAGTTGAAGGCTTTGTTCCTGCCCTTAAACAGGAAATACGCGAGTGAGAGCCCCCCCCCCAAGCCACGGAGGCATTGGTTCCTGTGGCTGAGCCTTAGATCCAGCTCCCCATACAGCTGCCCTGGAGCCAGTGAGAGACCGTACTGCTGTATCGGCCCCGGCCCCTAGGCATGCACCTAGGAGGCAGTGAGTGCATGCGCGCTAGCATCCTGGGTGAAAGAGAAGCACTCGGAACTTAGCCTGCAAGGCAAGACGATCCGCAGGGATGGTAGGCCCGGTGCGCATTTACCTCCTGGGCACGAGCAAGAGTGGCACTGGATTTAACATTGGCCACGTTGCAGATTGGTGCCTGGTTGGCTTGGGCTGGGCCGCTGTGGGCCAGTCCTTTGCTATTTCCGAGGCAGCCTCATGGGCGGGATCTAACCTCCTCCGACCCGCGGGCCTTGACATCCCTGATCTAAGGTGTGTTTCTCTTCCCTAAAGTGCAAGATGGTGAGCCCTTCCTTATTACTAAGAATTATAATATGCCTTATGAATTTGGAAATTAATGGCCAGGTGGGATCAACTTGATTGCCTATACTGTATTGTCTATAAACTGATGGATTTACTAGATAGACGAAACACATTAGGCTCCGCTTAAAAATAAGGTCCTAATTGGAGATCAAAATTACAATACTCAGTGAATCCCTCTACTCACCTGTCGATAAAGGTCCAGATCAGTCTTATTGCCAACAAGGACCATAGGGAACTCATCACGGTCTTTCACTCGAAGTATCTGAGTGTGGAATTTGTGGATTTCATTGAAACTATGGCAAATAAATGGGAGTAAAACAAAGAAGGATTTCCCTTAATGTGCTTTTCCTATATATACTAATGAAGAATTCCCTCCTGTTGCTTCTAAAAGAAGAAGAAAAAATCACTACACCAATATTAAGACCACTACAAGTTTTTCTTACATTTCAGGAAACTTTTGGGGGAACATTCTAACATAAAAAGTCTGTTTGAGTTTCCTGGCCATTTTGAAATTCATATATTTCTCGTGTAGTGATTTAGCAACAATGGCTTTCTAAACCTTTTGGTTCTTTTTAACTATGTAAAAAGGCATGAATATATTGAACTCACACAATATCCTAAAGCAAAGAGACCACATGCTTAGCATAATGCACTGGCCAGGCACTTTAAAGCTTATTGGGTCTAGCACTATTTTTTTTTTTTTTGGTAATTGCTTTAATAGCAGCTTCAGGAAGTATAAACACGACTAATTGTAATTTAAACTATCAAAGGTATTTTTTCTCCAAATAACCCCAGCGTTGCCAATTTTTAAAGCGCCTAATACAGGAAGGAAAAGCCAGGAAACACTTTTGAAACGTTTACATCTCAGCCTGCCTTTCTTTGGCCCATTAGACTGAACAATCTGCATGCCGTAAACTACAGAAGATCTTTTTGCACTTTTGATAAAAACACTGAGGAAAGATTGGGGGGGGGGGGGAGAAAAACATGACCTCGAATATCTCCAAAGTCTCACCGAACCAATGGCGGCACACAGCCCTAATGAAGAAAAGATTTTTATTCCGTATAAATGTTTCAGCTGCGATCTCACCTGCCCCGGTCATTGACAGCATAAACAAGGAGGAAACCTTCTCCTGTTCGCATGTATTGTTCACGCATAGCCCCAAACTCTTCCTGACCAGCCGTGTCCAGAACTGATCAGTAAAAATTGAGAAGGAAAGAAAACAGATTAGATCCCAATCAATCTGAGTATGAAACATGTAGAAAAAGAGATGAGAGCGTTTAGTGTGGTGGTATGGAACTATGTGCCCTCCAGTTGCCCTGAACTACAACTCCACAAGACTCAGACAAGGCAGCCAAGAGAGTAAATACATTAAAATGTACACAGAACACCAGGTTGCCTGTTCCCATTCCAGATGTTATGGCATGCTTCAGTAAAAAGCTTTCTGACACAACCACTTGCTTTGATAGCATTTCATGAGCCTCCACTTCACAGAAATGTACCAACATTCCTCTAATATTTTTGGAATGTTGGTACATAAAAGTGGACCACGGTGCATTAAAAGAATAACTCTCTGACTTTCCTTACAGCTGCTGACACCTGTAGGGAAAATATTTTGTTGGGCTGGGAGGTACTCAAGTCAAGTTTCAGCAACAGATTCAACTAAAGTTCTAGTAGCTAAAAAGTGCTATATTCCCCCCATTGTCAACATTCAGTTTTTGTTGTAGGGTTTAAACAGGGAAAGCTTTCTTTTAAAAAAGAAAATACAAGGAGGCTACACCCACTATCTTCCACACCCTATCCTCATCACCAATTCAGGTGCAGACCCTCCATGCCACAGCTTTCACATTTATTTTATGGTCTTCTACAAACAATAAGTCCTCCCAATAATATATTCACATAATCTTACATTTAATTGGATGGCAAGTTCAAGAATGATTTGTTGTAAATTTGTAGCAGTAAGAATTCTGCAAACAGGCCTGATTTTAATAAGGCTCAGTTTCACAACATCTGGTTCCTGATACCCATTTGTTTACTTAGGTCTTCTCCAAATTGATATCCCTCAAATGTCTTGGACAAATAACCAATCAATTGCTGGCTGGTAATAGCAGAAATTACAGTCCAACTTTGGGTTACACTGATTTGTGTACTGACCGCTGTAAGTTACAACAGCACTGAAAAAGGTGATTTCTGACCGTTTTTCACACTTACGATGTTGCATAATCCACATGGTTATGTGATCAAAATTCAGACACTTGAAAACTGGTTCATGTTTATGACAGTTGCAGTGTCCCAGGATCATGTAATCTCACCTTTTGTGACCTTCTGGCAAGCAAAATCAATGGGGAGGTTAGATTCACTTAATCCTTTTACTAATTTCACTTAACATTTGTGGAAAGAAAGGTTATAAAATGGGGCAAAATTCAATTAACAAATGCTCACTTGGCAATGTAAATTTTGGGGTTATTATGGTCGTATCTTGAGAACTACTTACAGATACATTCATTTGCACAGAGCATGCAAAAGATCTCTCTAGAATAAGATTCCACTGATACTTACTGTCCAGGCGGGTTGAGATACCATCAATATTGCAGATTTTTGTGTACGAGTCCTCAATTGTGGGGTCATAGTCAGAAACAAAGTAAGACTGCAACAAAGCAGAGAAAGACAGATTTTTCAAGGGCTTTATGGATGACAGAAATAACCAGAAATCCATTTTAAAATTTTGCTCATGAAAAAATTAATATCCCTGGCATAAGCTTTTACTCAACCCTCTGCTGTCAGCTCCCTGCATACTGCTGAGGAATTCCATCTAAAAGTCGCTACTTTTGAAAAGCTCTGTTTTAGATGGAGGGCCAATTTGGTGTAATGGTTAGTGTGCTGGCCTGGAAATCAGGAGCCCCTGAGTTCTAGGCCTCCCTTAAACATGAAAGCCAGCTAGGTGACTTTGGGATAGTTGCTCTCATCCAGCCCGACCCACCTCACAGGGTTGTTGTTGTGGGGAAAAATAGGAGGCAGGATAAAACTATCACCATAACGATGGTAATATCAGACGGCTATCACTGCTTATCATGTGACAGACAAATACTATACCCTCTTTGTGTTCAAAAGGTGATTTTCTTTTCTTAGAGGCATTATGGAAGAAGTTTGCCCTTACCTCCTTCTAGGTCCTAGGATGTTCCATTTCTCAATTCAGTTTATACTCCCAGGGTTTCCTTGTAGTCTCTCACCCAAGTTTCACCAGATCTGATCCCAACTAGCTAGTCAAGTTCATCTAAGTTTTTATTAACTCTTAAATCATAGGTAGGGTAACTAAAAGGTCAGAAAACTATAATGAAAGGAAAATACTGCCTTGGACCATCTTATGTACCTCCAAATAAACTTCCCTTTTGCTTCCCTGTAATACTGAATGCAAGCAACAGAGAGTTGATTCAGACCCCTTTTACATTGCTGTAATTTCATCACTGTGATCTTTCCTTTGCCAAATGCAGCTGCCTGTTGAAGGTGAAAAGAATTAGCAAAATGGAGATGATCTACTGCAACATTCCCAACCTGGATGAGAAATTGCATCACTCTCACAATACACCTCAAAAGATTGGAATTGTAGCTGCAGGCATCTGAAAGGCACCAAGCTAGAGGCAGTCAATTTTTAAAAAGTATATGCTGGTGTCATGTTTTTCTGAGATATTTATTCCTAAATAGGCATAGTTGGTAGCCAACGTTGCTCAAATAAGACAATAAACTTATGCGCATTTAAGTTGGAAAAATTCCAATCATTTCAGCAGAACTTATACACACATTTACAGCAATGGACAAAGTCCTGGGTTAACTTTCATTTTTCCACTCAGCAGGAAAACATACGGCAAAGTTTGTTTAGCTATGAGCTGAGCCCATCCTTCCCAACCCTACCCTTCGGCGCTTTTTCCGAGTTACCTGGATGAACTGAATAGTTAGGGCGCTCTTGCCTACGCCACCTCCACCGACCACTACCAGCTTGTATTTCTCCAGTGGCGCCGCACCTTCGCTGAGATTCATCCTGCTTGGCAAAAGTTGTTCGCTTCCTTATAGGTGAGGGAATCGCACCAAAGCACTCAAAAGCCTCTCCGTTCAGTCGCAGCAGTCATCCTCCGAACCCCTCAAAATATGGCAGAGATAGATCCAGGGTGGGCCCTCTAAGGAGCGAAGCTCGACGATTGCTGGCAGTCCGCTTCCCTATTTGGCCAGCGGGAGCCGCTACGGGGAGGTCCCATGTCCGGAACAAGATCGTCCGGGCCAGTGCTCCTTCCCCGCCCTGAGGTGGACCAGTCGGGAGCGGGCTGGGGGGAGGGCTGAGCTCAGTGCGCACCCCGCGCGCTGCCCAAGATGCTGTGTTTCTGTGATGGGCGCGAAGCTCAGTGGAAGGTATGGAGGAGGCTACGTTGGAGAGGCCTGAGATGATGGAATCAGAATGGACGTAGTTTACACAGTGCAACACTTTCCTCTTGAAGTGGCATTCCGATTCCCAGCAAAACACGAGGCCTGCGTAAGAGCCTCTGAACGAGGGAGCTGCCCTTCTTAAACCAGACCCAGAGGCGCCCACGTGGCGTCTCTACGGCGGTTTTACACGACACATCCGGATAGAACCCTTGTTTCAGTCAGATTACCACAAATTGCTGCGTTCCCATGACAGATTGTGTTACAAATTAACCACGGTGTCTGCGTTCACACAAACACACAAAGGCAAAAAGAAAAAGGGAAAAAAAGCAGCTAACCAAGTTGGGTTGAACGCAACTTCTGACTTTCTCGACTACAACACGTTCACTTTCGCTGGCGGAACTTCCCAAGTTCTTCACGGTGAAGTATTTGCGGCCACATATAGCCGCAGAAACAGAGTTCTGACATGCAAAAAAAAAAAAAAAAAAGAAAAAGTGAGCCTTTTGGACCGAGGAAGAATTTTCGGGGTAAGATGGGAGGTGAATAAAACTTGGTCCTTTTTAAGTGAATGGAAGGTTCTGAGGCGTGGGACCAAAATCGTTAAGTCGAAACCGGTTTGCAGCCGGGAGTTTAAGAAGAGCGGAGGTTCGGACTCGCTCTGAAAGGTATTCAGAGTGAAAGGGTGAATAATCGGCGAAATATAGGACCCAGCGCTTGACTCGGCCAGGGTGGAGCGGAGTATGAGTTCACCACTACATTCCTTTCATGAATTATGGAGGAAGTTGAGGCACCAGCCCGTGCCTTGGATTGTAAAGGAGCGCCGTGACCTGTACAAAGTTGGGGAATTTAAGATTAACTGTGATTTATTGCACCTGTTTCTGCAATGGTACAAAGGCCCCCACAATAATTAATTAGCAAGTTGCCAAAGCAGGCCGTTTGCTCCCTATGCAGAACCTAAGATCCAAGAGAGGAAAACTCTTATTTAAACTGTAGGAAGCTAGCACCCATCCCTCTCCTAGAAAAATGAAATATCCTAAGAAATATTAAAAAGGCAGAATATTTCTCCTAAAAAGAGTAGAAACTCAGAAGCAGAAACTCAGCCCCACCTTTGTTAATGGGTGTGCTATTAAAGCCTGGGCCAGAATGTTTTACATAACAAAGATCTTCAGGTAGAGCTATAGGAATTGCCTAAAGCCCTTTCATTATCATCATCCAGCAAGGCTCAAGAAAGCCTGGAACTCAGGTGAAGCCATGGGGTCCAGACAACGCCTACAAACAGACAAAGCTAAGACCCCTGCTCCCTGGGAGTTTGACAGCCAATGGGATACACTTCTTGCACAGGAACAGGAAACACTAAGGTGGCGCCCAACAGAGGGTCTCTCAGCATATCAGGGTCTCTCCGCATCTCAGCCCGCCCTTCTCTTTTCCTTCACCTTGAAGCATGTGATCATCTTTTTCACTTTGGAGCTCCAACCCATGTGGTCCTATCCACCATTGAACAATCTTTCCAGACAGCCTCCATGTTGCCAGTGTCTTTTTCCCCACTTGGAACTGAACCCAGAAGGATAATTTTTCGAACAAAACTATTAACAGATTAACAGAGTTGGAAGGCACCTTTTAGGTCATCTAGTCCAGTGGTTGCCAACTAGTGATCTGTGAGAAAATTTTGGTGGTCCACAGAGAAATGTCACCCCAGAGCACCCCCCAAAGCAATTAATCCAGGCTACATGGAAACACGGCTGTGCTGCCCACATGGCCCCCGGGAACAAAAGGCTTGTATTGGAACAACACAAGGTAGTGGGGGAGGGGAAAAGGACAGAGGGGGGACTTGCCCCACATCCCCCACACGCCTCACTTGCCCACCAGGCTGCTTCTTACTGCTTCTTCTGCTTTTGGCGGCATACAAGGAAAGCAGCAAAAGTCTTTCTGTCCCCCAAACTCTACCAGAAATGAGTCTTTGGGACCCTGCAAGGCATCCTACTCCAAAAGGCTGCACCGGCAAAGACTCATTTCTGGTGAAGTTTGGGGGGAGAGAAAGAAAGATTTCTGCTGCTTTCCTTGCATGAAGCCAAAAGTCTCTCTCTCTCTCTTTTTCTCTCTCTCTCTCCCTAAGAATGGAGCTGGAGACTGTGTTCCCAAATAAGGAATGATCGATTGGTAGGAAAATGGGCTGGGGAATTTTCCCAGGGTCTCTGATCCATGGGATTTAAAATTATGAGTTTGGTGGTACCTGAGGTCCAAAAGGTTGATTTAAAACACCAGGAATCCATGCACTCCTTCTGTCAGAACCAAGGAAATTCCAGTCCTACATGGATTGTGTGACCCCATCCTTTTTTGTGATATTTATTCAGTGTAGCTCTTGGTCCTGTCCAAATAATTAAGCATCAAGTCTTCAATGGGGACAAGTCTTCAATGAGGAACTAAGACTACATTCTTTGGCCACATTTACCAGATTTTCTTATTTATAGGCACAGGATCAGACATGATCCAGATACGAGTAAACAATGAAGAGAGTAATATTAAATGTGCAAATAATGGAAACTTCCAGTCATGTATCTTCCAGTCATCTATCTTATCTTGCTTAATAGCCTTGCACATCTACTTGGAATGTACACTGCAGCATTTTGCAGGAAGATCTTGGGATTAATTTGTAAAACGTGTAGCTTCCTGTTGTTTTTAAATGCAATTCCCAGGAGAGGAATGTTGGTAATGGTGTTTGGTTATGTTTGGTGGGTTATAGGTCATCTTAGCAAGATGTCTTAATAGAATGATACAGATGGTTATCACAGGTGAAGCTAGGGAGAATCATCTGATACTGTACAATTAGCCCAGGGCACCCCCAAGGCTGTGTGCTTTCTTCCCTTCTCTTCTCTTTCTATACATGGTGGCTAACCTTTTTGGGCTCCTGTGACAAAAATTGCAAGTGCACCAGTGCGCCCACACTCACATGCCAGCACCCAGAATGAAATGGGTGCCCCCCCTCCCCATGCCCCCTGCGCATGTGCTCGCAATCCCCCACCCCGACTCCCTTATTTACACTGTGCCTCACAGATTATTTTTCGGATGGTTTGAGGCCTTTTTCAGTTCCCAAAAGCTTGGAAAAAGGCTCTGCAATGTTTCTCAGACTGAATTATAGGCCCATTTTGTCACTTCTGGTATTACAGGAAGTGATGAAACGGGCCTATAATTCAGTCTGAGAAGCCTTGCAGAGGCTTTTTGCAAGCCTGTGGGAGTCTGAAAAAGGCCTCAAACCAACGGAAAAAAAATCAGCTGTGAGGCGTGTACATGCGCAGTAAGATAAGTTTCCCTGCGGCTCGTGTGCCAGCACAAGTGGCATAGGCTTGTGTGCCAGCACACATGCCATAGGTTCTCCATCAGGGCTATAAACCAATGATTGCATTTCCAACGATCCATCCATTAAAATACTGAAGTTTGCAGATGATACAACAGTGATTGGCCTTATTCAAGACAACGATGAATCTGCATACAGACGGGAGGTTGTACAACTTGCCTCATGGTGTAACCAGAACAATCTGGAACACGCTCAAAACCATAGAAATGGTGGTAGACTTTAGGAGAAACCTACCCATACTACCACCTCTTACAATCCTAGACAACACTGTATCAACAGTAGAGACCTTCAAATTTCTAGGTTTTACTATATCACAAGACCTAAAATGGACACCTAACATCAAAAATGTCATCACAAGGAATTTGTCTTGGTGCAAATGCTTTCAGTGTACATAAAAGAAAAGATACATTCATCAAGAATCAAACTACACTTAATGATAGTCATAGGGTACAATAAGCAATCAAATCATACTAGGAAACAGTCAATATAAATCTTAAGGATACAAGTGATAAAGTTACATTCATACAGTCACAAGTGGGAGAGGATGGGTGATAAGGAGTGATGAGAAGATTAATAGTAATAGTAATGCAGACTTTGTGAATAATTGGACAGTGTTGAGGGAATTATTTGTTTAGCAGAGTGATGGCATTCGGGAAAAAACTGTCCTTGTGTCTAGTTGTTCCATTTGGTCATTAAAAGCATTTTTCACTATCCCAGATGTCCAATGGATCATCCAACAATTTCTTTTCTGAATTTCCTAAGCCCACCAGTTGGACCAATAATGTGTGCAATTTTGTTTAGATTGAGTGGGGTGAACACAGATCATGCTGTCTAAAAAAAGGGGAGGTGAATAAAGTGTGATCATTGATTATATTAAACCCATTGTGTTATGTATGGTCGGTGGGTCCCATGAATAGATGAGGCTTGAGTAGTGAACAACAGCTCTTTATTTAATAGATAGATTCTGAGACTGGAAAACCCTAGTGCGCAGCAGCTCTTCTTATAGAGCTGGCCGCGGTTAGGCAGCCAATGACAACTCTTTGAGTTTGCCGCACTTGGTTTCAGCCAATTGCGGCAAACCCTGTATGAGCCAATCAGGAACGTTCAAGCCATCCAATCATGATCCGGCTTTTCTAGACTAATAGGAACGCGGGGTTTCAAGCCTGCTAATATGGAACACCTGGGGGTTTCCCATTCTAGTGGTGGAGCTGCAGGGGGAGTCGAGCAAGTCTCTTGACATCTGCTGCAAGCGGCAACCCAAGTTTCTATTTGTTTGTCCATGCCTGGCCACCAAGCGTAGCTTCTGGCCAGGGCTTTCATTCGCACAATGCCCGGGTGCCCGTCATGCAGCATGTCTAGAACTTTTTTCTGTAATGTTTCTGGTATCCCCAAAGAATGCACCCCCGTTGTGAAAAAAGTTCAGTTTGCCGGTTTTTAAACAGTTTAAAGAGTTCATTTTTTCTCTTTCTGGCCAACACCTCTCCACCCAGCTGAGGACTCGCGCCAAGTGTTTGTCCCTTCTTGTTTCATGGGCAATGTCTTGCGTGGTCAATGGTGGCATGGCTACTGTTTCTATTTCTAAAATTGATAATGTGGGTGCTGGGTTGTCTTGCACGTCTGCTAGGGGGGATCGGCTTAAAGCGTCAGTGTGCGAGATGGTCTTGCCAGGTCGGTGTACTAAATGGTAATTATAAGCGGCAAGAAATTCAGACCATCTCGTCATCCTAGGTGACAGGA